GTTGTCGGGCAATTGTTGGAGATTCCAAAAATAATATTATATACAGAGTGTTCCATTTGAAAAATCAAAGTTGCTACTGCTTTCTAATAGAAGCGGCAACACCGCATTGTCGAAAATATTTTAGTTGGCTAGAGAATGTCCGAATATGCCCTCCATTAAATTTTTAAAGTGATCCGTTGTCTGGTTCACCAGAAACGTCTAATGTGCCATCCACCGTAAATCAGCCTGTATATGGAAGCACAAAATGAACGTGAAACAATAGCTGCCCAGCTAGTACTGTGCCTTGAATGAAAACTTTTCAACTCATCCATTTCTTTTCTCTGCCCTTTCTAATTTCAAGGAAATACTTGAAAATAACATTTCTTTCAACATAGTAACAAAAATATAGTACTCCAACATTGAGATTTAAATAAGTAAATCCTGATTTTCTAAAAAAAATAATATTTTGTTTTAAGGTCAAATACCAAAAAAATACACTAATTTTTTGCTTAAGTCCATATAATTTTTGACGAGTCTGATGACGTTCAAGGGTTCATTTTCCAAATAATCATCTCCAAAGTTTTTTTGAATTTGTTTTAAATAATTTGCGGCACATTCAGGATCTAAAAACATAGGAAAATTTCTAAAAGCAACAAAAATTTTCATTGTACACCTTGGAATCTCTGGAAAGTGTAAAAATCGACATACAAGTAATAACTTCCCAGCATTATTTTGTGCATCCTTGCAACGTATTTGATGAAACGTATTCAGCACTTTATAAACTGTAACAATCAAGATCAAGCAGAAACTGACAATTGACGTAACGTAACGTCAAATTTTGTTTCAAAACCAACCTCACGCTAGTTTTAAATCATCATGAATACGTTTAAAATCATAGTTGATGTGACGTCATCGTTTCAACGCCGGAATGAATGTATGTATTTGAATCACAGACGAATACGTTTTGAATACATGAGCGCCAGAAAACGCCTCAGATTTTTCAACAGAGAAATCGCATCATGAGTAATGACATAACAAACTTGAAAATTAAACTACAAGCATGTTTCTTCAAAAATGTATTACAGTATCTTATTTTCTGTAACACTCACCACTATTTCTGGAGCCATTTCGCCCTATTTTTTCACTTATTAGTCACTACTGAACACTTTATCACTGGAACGAAAGATAACTCTATTCCCCGCCGTTTTAGTTCTACAATACACTATCAGTATTTCAAGTTTTTTGGTTCATCGAACAGAGACATTTGAGTTATTACCCAACAGCTTATCTGCGGTTTTAGTTTTGAAACTATCGAATTATGACTGACTAGCTAAAAAAATAAATTTAAGTGCGAGTCTACTTCGTCATCAATCTTAAAATAACGCGATCCCGAAACTCAGTCAAGACATATTCGCGTTATGTAATATCTATTCAGCTATTAAATAAAATTATTTATTCACCTGAGTTTCTATGTACTTTCAGAATATAATAAAACTTTATGTCGATTAAATGATCATTGTTTGCCACTAAGATTTAACCTCATCGAACTTGTAACTTACGTATGCTAATTTTTTATAAAAAGTACAAAAACATTACGGAAAATGATATGGAAAGATAGTTGATAACAAGAGGACGAAAACCGACATAGCACGCAGCACAATATGAAAAGTGAACAAGGTCAAAGTGATTCCTTATAATATTTGCATTCGCAAAAAACGCTCATCCTGAAAAAATAAATGTGTTTGTAAGTGCTGATAAATTTTGATGGCGTGATAAAAACCAAAAAAATGCCATCTGGAAGGATTCGTAATACAGGGGTACAAAAAGGAATGTGATATGTGGGCAAGATATCTATAGTTTATGATATATAGTTTATGATGTTCTTAAAAAAAAGGTTTTATAGTTTTCTTGGATCAAAAAATTTTCACAAAAAATTTACAGAACTGTACAATAACTTCTTCAAATGAGTATAAACCTGAACACGCCTGAACAATATTTGTTATAGTAAAGCACGACTTGCGGTTATATTGACTTTTTTTTTGCGTATCCAATTTTAAAACAAACCAACCCTTCTTTCTACTGAC